TTAAGAGTTCATCCTGGAAGCCTGGGAGAGCCTGAGGTTTGGACATATAGGTTTGGTCACATAGGTAGTCTGTAGGATTCAAGTGACTAGGGGCTGAGAGCCAGAAGACAACCCTACAAATGCAGTGGAGGTCTTTAGAAATCTGAATGAGTTTATTAGAGAACCCTGGTTCCACTTGTGAATCCAGTCCTAGCTGAAACCTTGAGTTCAGCTTTGAGAGACTCTAGTATAACACCCAATTGTGTTGGTCTGTATGTCTAGTACTGCATAGCAACAGAGGGAATGAGTGTCATTTAAGGCAGGGACTTTGTGGTACTTTATTATAAAGTAAACCAAAGATGAATTCAACTACTGTTTTTATAGATGATCCCTTATCCTTACAGAACCATACAATAGCTTAGTCATAGACAAGAAGAGGGAATTCAAGGGACAGAGCTAATAGGGTATCAAATGGATTTCATTGCCTGATGTAATTTTTCTCTAGTCTGCATTAAACTGACTGGTGACAAAACTTCTGCATTTTTGACCATTTTATAATCTATTACACTGATTTAATTTTTTGTTTGAACCTAGATTTTGGTTCCTAGCTACAAAAGTAGGATCAATCAAAGTTAGCCTGATTTTGAGAGGATTCTCCAGGGGATTTACACTGCATCTTGAAAACAATGTATTTTTTTTCAGAGAGATGTTAGACAAGAGTTTTAAGGCTGTGCAAGTTCAGTTAATGAGATTTCTTGATCTAACTAGACCATATTAAATTCCCTAGGTGTTCACAGTATCCTTTCTAGACTTACAGGCACAGGAACTTGGGCTTACTATTCAGCACTGAGATTGAAGACAAGTACAGGCAGGTTCTGAGAGCTGAGAGTGTTAGTCAGGTCCAAGAGATCCACTGTTTACTAGCAATGCTCTCCTGAATGGAATGGACTAACATGGGATTCTAAGACTGAAGGAACTGTAGGCAGGCAAGGCAAGCGAGAATTCAGCCCAGCAGATGAAAAGCCCACAGTCTGTGGGGGAAGTTGTGAGCGAGGGGCAGGTCACTAAATAACACCAGGAAAACAGATGGTTTGGACAGTACTGAGACACCACAGGCAATGAGGACGGTGGATGGTCCTAGACATTTCTAGACAACTCCATGTGAACCTGTGGGCACTCCAGAAAGCAGGGTATGCTGGACATTGTGTTGGAGGGAATGGTGATTGCCAAGAAAGTTTTGAAATACTAGAGCCTTGATGGCATTGTGAGCCCTGCCCTCTTATTCCTGAGACCTGATACATGAACCAACATTCCGTAGGTAGCAAACATCAAGCCTAGATTCTGAATATAGTTCTCATCAGTCTTAAACTAGTGAGAACTTGGCTCACCTATGCAGCTTGATCCCAAGAAGAAAAATCATTAAATAATGCAATTAGAGAAGACACTGGCAAGGATGGAAGGCAAAATTGTTCAAGATTCTTGGGTGTAGATGATTCACAAAGGGGGAAATTTGAGAAATGAGTAAGAAATAGGCCATGTTTGGCAATTTATTGGATCAAGAGTGCAAATAAAACAAAAGTAACCCCCCAAATCTGCAAAATGACACAGTTGGTGGCCTGATGTTGGATGAATTGCTACAAACTCAATGGCTTAACGCAGCACACTTTCCATTTCATGCTCTGTAGGTTAAGGATCTGTGTGCTCCTCCTCTGCTCAGCTTTCACCAGGCTGGAAATGAAATGCCAGTCAGGGCAGTGGCATCATGGGAGAATTAGACTGGGGAGAATATGTCTGAGTGTGTGTGACTACTGTAGATTTGGGTGTTGGTCAGCTGATGTCTAGATGCTACTCTTTCTTGCCACATGAGACTTTCAGGAGAACAGCTCCCAACACAGCAGGCAGCTTGTCTCACTGCAGAAGGCCAGGAAGACGGCAGTTAGAATCTTAGGTAACACTGTCACAACTGCCATCCTCGCTTTAGTCAACTAGAGGAAATCCCCCAACCATATTCACAGCTGACAAGGGTATAAGGATACCAAGAGGCAGGATCAGTGAGAACCTTTTTAGATTAAGTCTGTCTGTACTGAACAGGGTTCTCTCAGGGCAGAATCAATAGGCCTGCCAAGATGTATGCAGGTGTGCACATGCAGGTAGCCTAATGGGTGGACAGGCAGTTACAGGTAAGTGGATATGTGAGACAGCACTTGGTGAACTGGTTCATGTGAGTCTGGAGGCCCACGGCAGGCCTTCAGTAAGTCACAGTCTTCACAACCAAGGAAACAAATGGTGTAACCCTCAGCTCAAGAGGGTACCCAATAACTCAACTGCCTATAGGCAGGTGCACATCTCAGCTCCAAAGGCAGAGGAGCCTGGAGGGCTGGAGGCAGGAGAGCTATGTTCCTGTCACAGAAGAGGAAAAGCGTGTAGACCTTCCCTGTGCCTTCTGGTTCTGTCATAACTGTCTGCTCCCTTGGTGCAGCCTCCTGCCCCTCACTCAGTTTCGCCTGTAGCCTCCTGCCCCTCACTCACTTTCTTGTTCACGGGTCTGAGTCCTCACTTGCCTTGCCTACAGTTTCTTCAGGTTTAGAATTCACATTCGTACATTTCATTCAAGCCAGCATTGCGGATAAGCAGCAGGTCTGTTGGACCTGACCGGTGCTCCAAACTCTCAGACCCCCTCTACTTGTCCTTCTTATGAATATTAACTAGTGAGTCCCAGGTGCTCGGGGGTGCCTGCCCACCCCAAGGGCAGACCTTTCATATTGAATCCAGCCACTCATGTACCCGTGTCCTTTGAAAGCACCTTAACAGACACATCAAAATAATGCTTTACCAGTCATCTATGCCATCCTTAGGCAAACTGGCACCTAAAATTAAATATTAACACTGTCACATTGGAAAAAACCAGGATTGCTTCAAATATACAAGATCATTAGGATGAGGCCAGAGCAGGGCAGGGATGGCTTATTCCTTTAATTGAATCATTCCAGAGGCAGATGCAGAGGCAGAGGCAGAGGCAGGGGCAGGGGCAGAGGCAGGGGCAGGTGCAGGGGCAGGTGCAGGGGCAGGGGCAGGGGCAGAGGAGGACAGATCCCTGTGAGTTCAAGGCCAGCCTGTTCTACATAGTGAATTCCAGACCAGCCAAGTCTATGAAGTGAGACCCTTTCTCAAAAACAAAGCAAAGCAAAACAAAAAACAAAAAAGCAAGCAAAACCCCCAAAAAACAAAACAAAAATTCAACCATCCAATCAAACAACCAGACAAAACACAAGAGGGAGGGAGGGAGACAGATACAGAGAGAGAGAGAGAGAGAGAGAGAGAGAGAGAGAGAGAGAGAGAGAGAGAGAGAGAGAGAGAATTAAACAGAATCACAGGTAGTTAGAATATTTCACAGAACATTCAGAATAAGAGGAAGAGCTGAAGTGTCATTCAGTTGTTGATTTTTTTTTCGAGACAGGGTTTCTCTGTATTGTTTTGGAGGCTGTCCTGGAACTTGCTCTGTAGACCAGGCTGACCTTGAACTCACAGAGGTCTGCCTGCCTCTGCCTCCCTAGTGCTGGGATTAAAGGCATGCACTACTAACGCCTGGGGAGTTGTTGATTTTTTTAAAGACTTAATTAAAATTAAAAATTTCATATATATATGTATATGTGTATATATATTATGTTTGTCATTCTCCCCTTCCTCTCCTTCCACTCCATCTCAAATTCATAGCCTTTCCTTAATTATTATTGTTATTGATTATCATGACTATCTCTTAATTTTTATTGTATATAAACAAACAATATATAAACACAACCTGCTGAATCAGTTTACTGTTGCTTATGTGTGTAAGATTTTAGGACTGACAACTTGGTATTGGGTAACCAGTCAGAGGGCTCATCCTGTGGAAGACTGGTTCTTTCTCTCTCTCAGCAGCCAGGAATTTCCTGTAGCTCTTCATTCAGGGGTGGGGCCCCAAGGGATTTCCCCCATCCATGTTGGGATGTCCACTGGTGCTGGAATTGTTCAGGTCTTCCTTAGGCAGTCATACTGAGATTTCATGTGTGTAGCTTCCCTGTCTTACACAGAAAGCACAATCTTGCAGCAGACTTCCTGGTCAGTTCTTACATTTTTCTGCCCTCTCTTCTCTGACGTTCCCTGAAACTCAGGTTAAGATGGAGGAGAGGTTTTGTTAAGTCTCAAACACACAAGTTAAAGATGACTTAGGGCAGAAACGAAGGTCATTTAACAATGTCTTATCATTAAGAAGAACAGACTAATGACCTAGGGGACACTGATGAAGGGACGTGGGCACCAGCCACCTGACTTCCTATAGAGGGACAAGAAGCAGCTCTGGGGAGATGGCTCAGTGGGGAGAACACCTGTTCTGCAAGCACGGGGAGCCAAGTTTGAATCCCCAGCACTCTGTAGCAGCTGGGAATGCTGGCACATGCCTGTAACCACAGCATTAGGAGGTAGACACAGACAAATCCTGAGAGCTCACTGGCCAGCCAGCTTTGCTAAATTTAATGGTGAGCTTCAGGTTCAGTGAGAGGCTCTGTCTCAAAAAAAAAAAGTAGAGAGAAAGACACCAATGTCCTGTTCAAGTTTCTGCATGCTAGGACTGGGCCTGAACCTAGGTATCTATGTGTGTACATTTCATAGAACACACACACACACACACACACACACACACACACACACACAAACACACACACACGAATACCACAAACACACACAGAGTACAACCACACATAGTACAACCACACACGAATACCCCACACACATACCTATACCACAAATACACATATACCACAAATACAGATCACACACACACCACACACACACACACACACACACACACACACACACACACACACACACCAATCCAAACAAAACACTCACAAACAGCAAAGTCAAGGAAAGAGAATGAAGGCACACCAGCACTGAGGAAATCTCTCACTCATTTCTGCAATAAGCTGCTTCCCCAAAGGCGCCTAAGGTAGGTTAATAGAAAACCTTGTGTTTTTTTTTCCCAGGAAACTGGCTAAGTCGACACTGGTCCTGGTGCTGGTGTTTGGCGTGCATTACATCGTATTTATCTGCCAGCCGCACTCCTTCTCCGGGCTCTGGTGGGAGATCCGTATGCACTGTGAGCTCTTCTTCAACTCCTTCCAGGTGACCAGCAGTGCCCGAGGCTTGCTGCTTGCGATCTATTAGCTTTTGTTAGTTCCCTCAACTGCTTTCTCTGGCCTCTGCTCTGGTTCGCCGGACCTGTGTTCTGAGGGTCCACCTCTTATTGTGCTCCCTCCTAGGGGTCAGGTTGATCGCAGACCCCATAGGGAGGCAGTATGGGGCTGCTTGGCATAGGACAAGCCTCGATAGCAAGACTACAAGGCACATTGTTGGAGAACACACCACCGCTGTAGGGCAGAGTCCCCCCCAATTCCCCAAGACCCCCCCCACTTTTTTCCTGTGTGTGTGAAAAGTAAATGAAATTAAAAGAAGACGAACGCAGGGAGAAGGGAGACAGGAAAGGAAGGGAAAAATAAGGGAAGAGGCTGCCCCCGTCTGCTTCATCCCAGTGTGAAGAGGACGACTGCAGCCTCTCAAGTAGACCGGCCTTCACTGTGCCTGCTCTCTTCACCTCCAACTTGTGATGTATGAGAGAGCTTGAGACAGATATGAGTGACCACAGCCTGAGAACACGGATGGAAGTTGCACTCTTGGAAGTGGTTATATGCATGCTTCCTAGTTACAGAATGAAAGGGAGCCATAAGTCAGTGTGTTCATCAGATATGTTAGAGGGGTCATCATGTAGGTGAGTCATGACAAAGACACAAAGTCTCCACTATGGATTTCAGATGGAACCTGAGAGTGTCCTTAGCTCTTGGTTTGGGGGAGCCAGTGGTTTGTTAAATCAATACATTCTAGAGGTTTTTACCTGATGGTCATAATGATGTAGGTCTGGTACAAGCTGGGCAATGAGTGTGACTCTTAAGGGAACTGAAGACAGCCCAAGGTGATCTGGGCTCTTAACCAGCAACACACCAACTCTCCATAGCTACAAAGTTCTATAAGGCTGTACAGTCTGTAGCCTGTTCAGGGAACTTCAGTTCCCAGCAGTCTGAACAATTGAAAGATTTTATAGTTTGGCAGTATTACTTACTTGTCAAGGATATCTACAGGTTTCCTGTTGTACTCAGTATCATGTTCAAGTGTCATTTTCTGCCACAACAGCCCTGCATGGCCTGGAGCCGGTGAACACTACCTAATCTCACACAGAACTCATGGGACCTGGCTGTTGCTTCACCAGTGTGCCTGGGATGGGGGTAGGGACAGAAGTGAGCTTGGTAGTGTCACACTCTGCTCTCTTTTCCTGACCCCCATACTATATCCATCCAGTTGACCATCTTTTTTTTGTCACTCTGATGAGCTTAAATGTCACCCCACAGAGGGCTTTGGCTGAGTTTCCCATCCAATACACCCACCCTATTGTTTCCTGTAACCCTGACTTTACCCGTAAGCCCCTCTTTCCCTGCGTTTCTCGTGTGCCTATTGTCATATACTTATCCATGTCTCCCTTTCAGAACTGTTTTGTTTATATCTTACCCCTGTTATGATGAATCATTCTTAGCACAGTGTTTAAGCTCAATAGATACTTCAGAGTGAAGAAAAGGTCCTTTGTGTTTGTACCATGTAATATTTTATGTTGGTAGCTGCTAGCATTTTAGGCATAGGAACATATTTTACCAAGCAGGGGATAGCATAAATGAAACCGCGTAATAGGAATCGGTTCTTTGTTCACCTCTGAGTATTCACTAAGTTGTTTGGTTTGGCTGAAAGCAAGGGAAGACCACCAACAAATGTAATATAAACAAACATTAGGGGAAACATTAGGGTAAAATAATTTGTGTAATTTTCTGAAGATATCATAAAACATCAGCTTTTCAGTTGGTGAATTTTGATACAAGATATTTTCCTGCTATGGGCTTCATGAATTGCCAAGGGGCTCATGGCCTCTTTTTTCTCTACAGGGTTTCTTTGTGTCTATTGTCTACTGTTACTGCAATGGAGAGGTAGGTCTGAAGACACCAGGGGCTTCTGAAGATAAGCTCCAAATTAATACTTGTTTTAATCCATTTTGTGCCTTTATGACAGAACACAAGAAACTTATAAAGGGTAGAGGTCTGTTTCTCACAGATCCAAAGTGGGGCTGTCCATGTCACATTATCCGGTGATGGAAGGCAGAAACAAGGGAGCCCACACCTCTAAGAGACTGACCTCACAACTCTGAGCTCTTAGAGGAAGACTCTTAAGCTAGTTAATTCTAAGTCAATTCTGGTGAATACTACAACTTTTGGTCCAAGTCAAGTTCTACAAAAAGCCAGCTACTCTCCTTAGGATGAATCTAAATGAAAATAAATTCAACTAAAACAGGTAAGTTTTTTTTTTATGGCAAGCTGAAGATAGGGCCATCTCAGTCGGTTCTGAAGTTGCCAGAAAGAAGTAACCGCAGGTTGTGTGATCATGTGAACGATCACATGACTCTGGAGCTCTAGGCTTGTCCTGCTGTAGAGTGCTGCCTCCTTTTTCCTCTCAAGTCTTCAGCTTGCTCCACGTCCCAGAAGGACAAGGACACTCGTCACTCAGAGGCTTCTTTCTGTGTGACGTTGGTCTCTATTTATCAATGCACCATCCTGAGTTGCTGCTGGGTTGTTTTTTAGCTTAATTTGCAGCAGGGCTAAGTGCATCAGTGTTTGTTTTCCCCTCCTCCTCAGATGAGTGTATTGCTTCAGGTGAGACCAACTTGCAAGCTTTTTTCTTCCCTGGTGCTCCCAGGAAAGTGTCAGTAGAAAGGACACTTTGGTAGCGGGCACAGAGGCCAGCCCCTGTCTAGTCACACTGCAGCTGCAGTGCCTGCTTTTGTCTCCCTACCATTTCCTTATTTTCCTCCCTCCTGTTGGCTCTTGCAGGTTGACAGTGTCTGGCAGTTTTGTGGCAAGCAGAGTACCTTCCTTGGCTTTCCTCTGCCTGGGGAGGTGTCAGGCATCAGACTTTAAAGAGCCGAGAACAGTTATTTAGTAGCCTCTGAGAGTGCGGGGGGGGGGGAGGCTTTTCAAATGGAGAATTATTTGGGAGCTTGGTGTTTGGGAGCTTAGAGTCAGAAGCAGAAAAAGTACATAGCTAAACAGGTCGCCGTTAGCTGGCTATGCCAACCAGGTTAAGGCTCCACCCTCCCACAGGCACAGGGCAGCAGAAGCCCCAGCCTCTTAATGGACCTTTGGGTCTTAGAGAGGAGTTCTGCATGTCAGCCCAGTTGTGGGTCCTTTGTGTCAAAGCATTTGAAGAAAGGAGCTAGGGGGACTTTTGTCAGGTACTCTGGCTGGCTAGAATGAATAGCAGAACTTCCCTGCAGCTGTAAGTTTTCTCAGACAAAGGCTTTCAGGAGGGCTGAGCTTATCCCTGGGGTGTGTGAGATTTCCGTGCAGGGTTTAGACTTGCTACAAGAAGAGTCCTGTGTCCCCCACGGCCACTGTTCATCTCTTATTTCTCCTCCAACCCAGAATTCTCTTTCTTCCCTTTGATAAGGCAGTTGTTTGATTGAGTGTCACTTTGGTCTTGTTTAAATACTAAAAAAACATTGATTGGGAAAGTCTTTTTGAGATGTACTGAAGGCACAAATCGTAGAGTCCCTTAACACAGAGGGACCTCAGACAGTGCTTATTATTGTAGGCATTTCGGATGGATCTGGAGTCACAGAATACTGAGTGTTACACAGCTCAGATGGAAAGGTATCCTGGAGCTTGGGACCCAAGGACTACCATAGGCCGCAGTAAGCATAGCAGCTTATAACCCTGCCTCAGGGAAAGGCTTCTCCAGTGTATCTGCTCTGCTTGGGCAGGACACTCCGGCAGGAGAAGGTTTCCTGGGCGAAGTTGCTACAGTTCAGCTCTGCTCCCAAGGTTTCCCCGGCAAAAGTGTTACAGCCCTGCTTGCTCTGCTCTGCCCAGGGTTGCCTCTCCTCTGCTGCTGCAGCAAAAGAAGATCTTTACCCAAAGCTCATCGGAGGGGTTTATTCGGAGGGAAGAATCCAGGAGAGTGGCTGTCCTTTGCCAAAGTAGCAGAAACAGTCACAAGCTGAACAGACAGAGGGTTTATATAGGGGCTTCCAGGGTGGGGGTTGGTCAGATTTTAATGCTGAGTTCACATTGGCTAGAACTCATGCTCGAGGACTGGTTAGTTTTCTGCACAGGGTTAGGGTCAGATTTGGCTCTGGTTTCAGGGCCAAAGTGTGTTTCTTTCTCTGGTCCTTTTTAGCCTTTTGACTCCAATTTTAGGGCCAGGGTGTATTTCTTTCACTGACTCTTGATTCCAGGGACAAAGTGTGTTTCTTTGGCACTGGTTTCAGGGTCAGAGTACATTTCTTTGGTTCTGGTTGCAGGGCCAAAGTGTGTTTCTTTGGCTCTGCTCAGGGTGTTTTTCTTTGACTGGTCCCTTTTCCCTACAATTATGATTATCACCAAGATCTAAGCAACATTCGTCATCACATGGGAATGGGGGGTCCTGGGGCTCCTTTATGGTTTCTGATACACAGCGTGTTTCTTATGCTGCATGTAGGTGCAGGCTGAGATGAAGAAGATGTGGACTCGGTGGAATCTGTCCATCGACTGGAAAAAGACGCCACCTTGTGGCAGTCACAGGTACGGCTCGGTGCTCACCACGGTCACTCACAGCACCACCAGCCAGTCACAAATGGGGGCAAGCACGCGCCTGGTGCTCATCTCCAGCAAACCCATCAAAAATGCCAGCAGACAGATCGACAGTCATGTGACTCTGCCTGGCTATGTCTGGAGTAGTTCTGATCAGGACTGCCAGCCACACTCCACCGCTGAGGAAACCAAAGAGGGACATGGGAGGCAGGAAGATGATACCCCAGCGGGGGAGTCTTCCAGACCAATGGCATTTACCCTAGACTCAGAAGGACACAAGGGACAAACAGAGCGTATCTGAGTCACCATTTGCGGCTCCAGTGGATTGGCGGATCTGGACTGGAATTCTGGAATAAGGCATTGCTTAAACATTTTCAGTTTTCACCAGTTGGCTACTATAAACATTCATGCATAAAAGGGTATTATTGAAGTAGTTTATGAACTTTTATTGGCATTACTCCTTAATACTTTCTCTGTGGTTATTACTATTTTGCTTTTTTTTTGGACAGAAAAGGTTTCAAACGCTTGACTCTACTTTTCTCTCATCAACATCACCCTGAATATGATAAGATCATCTAGTTCTCATCATTTTCCTTTAAAGCAATTACTGATCTTTATCCTTCTCATTTTAATGAACTTCCATTATTGCATTCATTTTGTCTACGTACTGGAGCAATCGATGGATGTGCACTGGAAGGCAAATTCTTAGACACATTGGAAAATCAGCTGACTGGACATTAATAAAGTGATACATTTATGACAGTTATGATTGATTCTAGTAGCAAAGAAAGTCACTCTGTTTTTCCTTTGAATGTCCCCTGTGTGATGAGTCAAAATCTTCTCTGGCTCTTCTGTTTTGTAAACCATGACAAGTCAATGACCTTGTGTTGGAAAGCTGATTCTGTGCAGACTCATTTGTACGGATGCTAACCCATGCTGCACCTTGTATTTGTCTTAGTTCTGTTGTTTGCTTTGTTACAGATGGTATGTGGGATAAATTAAAAGTTTGTTTTAAAGACACTTGTTTGGTCTTTAAGAGAATTTCCTTTCATCATTGCACGTTATCCTTGAGAAGCGACCAAACTGTTCTTTCCCCAAGTCGGCAGCTCCCAGCACATATCTCCCATGCTTCGGAAAATTTGAAAATTCAATGTGTTTCAGTTATGAAAACATTTGTTGAGTGCATACTTCAGAGCAGGTGTTCTGCTGGGGTTTTTACAAGTATTGACTCACTGCTAATTTTGGAGTAGGTTTTTACCATTGTCACTGTTTTTTACAATGACTCACAAAGTGAATCGACTTACCCCAAGTCTTTGAGTGAGTGTGGTTTCAGATGTAATCCACTGACTCCAAGTCTCATGAACTTACAAGCATTAACACACACACACACACACACACACACACACACACACACACACCATTAACCAATGAAATAATTTAGTGAATTCCTTTTGGGTAGAGAATATATCTCAGTGTCTGACTCTCCTAAAGTTTCTCCTCATGCAGGAGAAAAATCTATGTAAAAAGCATCAGACTGCTGTCTTTTTAGCTAAAATAACACAGCTGAGGCTGCTATTTCTCCATCTATTGAATGACAAAACACAGTGGTGTTATTATGACTTAGGTGCCCCACACTTACAAGTCTCCTTTATTTCCTTCCCTGAGTGTTAGCTTGGAGTCATTTCCTTTGTGTTCAGCTTATGAAGATGCCACTGTGCTTATATAACCCACCCAACTCAATTCTACACTGCTGCCTACCTGAGCTGCCCATCTGTGAGGAGTGAACCATCATGAGCTGAGTCACAGACTAAGTTCAGTTCTATGCCTAAATTTATGCAGACTTTTACAACTTAGCTTCTTTTATAATTCAATTGATCCATTTCAAAAATGAAAAAAACTTTTATAATTCAGTCAGTCCATTTCAAAATGTAGAAATTATCAGTCTACTTCACAGAGATGTTACGACAGAAAAGAAAAAGCACATCATTTAAAATACTTTGAGGCATAAATATTCTTTTTTAGGTTCCTTTTTAAATTTATATTTTAGAAACAATCTTATTTTACATATCAATTCCCCCATTCCCTCACCCTCCCATCCACTCACGCCCCCCATCCACTCCCAATCCCCAAGGATAGTGAGGCCTTCCACGGGGGATCATCAAAGTCTGTCACATCATTTGGGAGAGGGCCTAGGCCCTCTTCTGTGTATCTGAGCTTCAATAGTATCCCTCCATAGTGAATGGGCTACCAAAGTCCATTTGTGCACTAGGGATAAGCACTGGCTTCACTGTTAGAGGCCCCATAGACTTCCCAGGCCTCCCAGCTGGCATCCATATTCAGAGGGCTTGGTTCGGTCCAATACTGGTTCCCCTTACGACTAGAGTCTCTGTGCTCTCACTACATTAGGTCAGCTGTTTCTGTGGGTCTTTTCAGCATGGGTCTTGGCTCCTTTGCTCATCCTTCCTCCCTCTCTAAAACTGGGTTCTAGGAGTATGGCCCAGTGCTTAGCTGTAAGTGTCTGCTTCTGCTTCTATCTGGCTAAAGGCTCTAGGGTGACATTTAAGGTAGTCATCAATCTCATTATAGGGGAAGGGCATCAAAGCAACCTCTCCACTACTGCTTAGATTCTTAGTTGGGGTCATCCTTGTAGATCTCTGAACATTTCCCTAGTGCCAGATTTCTCTTTAAACCTATAATGGCTCCCTCTATTAATGTATCTCTTTTCTTGCCCTCCTCTATTCCTCCCCTGTCTCTGTCTTCCTAATACCTCTTGTTCTCTTCCCCCCTCCTCTTCTCCCCTTCTCTTTTTCCTGCCTCCCTCCCCTCTTCCCCATGCTCCCAATTTGCTCAGGGATTCTTGTCCCTTTTCTCTTCTTTGGGGAGCCATGTGTTTCTCTCTTAGAGTCCTCCTTGTTTCCTAGTTTCTCTGATGGTGTGGCTTGTAGGCTGGTAGTCCTTTACTCTGTGTCTAATATCCATATATGAATGAGTACATACCATGCTCATCTTCCTGTGACTGGGTTACCTCACTTAGGATGGTTTCTTCCAGCTCCATCCATTTGCCTTTGAATTTCAAGTTTACATTGTTTTATTTTCCGCTGAGTAATAATACTCCATTGTGTAAATGTACCTACCACATTTTCTCTACCTATTTTTAGCTGAGGGACATCTAGATTGATTCCAGGTTCTGGCTATTGCAAACAATGCTGCTATGAACACAGTTGAGCATAGTCCTTGTTGTATGAATGTGAATTCTTTGGGTATATACCCAAGAGTGGAATTGCTGGATCTTGGGGTAGACTGATTGCTATTTTCCTGAGAAACCGCCATATTAAGGAATATTAGGCTAAACAAGGTAGGCATGTCATAAGATATTTTATTAGGAAGAAGTCACTTACATGAGAGGTCGAGACCCGACTGGAACCCCAAGAGAGAGCCAGTGGTCTCTTGCACAGCCCTTTATTTCCCATGTCCGTATACACCTGTAGCCACCCCCAAAGTGGGCATGGTCACTGGCACAGGTATCTAAGTTTTCTCCCTACACCTCTATACTGATTTCCAAAGTGGTCATACAAGTTTGCACTCCCACCAACAATAGAGGAGGCATAAATGTTCCATATAAGTTCTTGGTTTGGGTCATTCTTATGATTATTTTAAGTTATATTTTTTTAATCTTCCCTCTTATAAATTGCCTTAGTGGTCACTCTAACAATAAGAGATTTTTAGAATAGTTGTATTTTGAGTACTTGGAAAATAGTGACTTTCTAGCCTGCTCCAAATCCTAAGGCTAGACCACAGCAAAAAGTTCTCTTCAGATATTGATGCTGGGGAAACTGGATATCCATGTGTAAAAGAAAAATGTTCTGTTATTTATTTCTTATCTTGTAATACAACTCACTCAAAATGGATCAAATACCCTATTGTAAGGTCTAAAACCCGAACCTGGTAAAACGAAAGACAAGGGAGGCATCTCAGGAACTAAACATAGGCCAGGACTTTCTGGAAGGAATCTAACAGCTCAAGACTTGATAAATTCAATTGCGTGGAATTAGAAATCTTTTCTACACTCACCGAAACAGCAGAGTGAAGAGACAGGCTAGAGGATGTGAGAAAATATTTACACACAGTATCTGATAGGAGGTTACTAGGTGAAATACAAATGCCAAAAAAACCTTAAACATCTTTATCCACTAGAGAAATTAAAATTTAAGCTGCTTTTCAAGTTTATTTAACTCCAATCATAAGGGCTATTATCAAGAAAACAAATGGCTGCAAATGCTGGGTAGAATGCTCCTGGGGATGTAAACTGCAGAGATCGATGTAGTAGTTCCTCAAACATCAGAAAATACAACTACCATTTCACTCAGTGATATCATTTCTGGATGTATGTCTAAAGGTATCTAAATCAGCAAATTACAGAGATACTTTCAGACCCGTGTTTATTGCTGTCTATTTACAATAGCCAAGATGTGGAACCAGTCCATATGTCCAGCAACAGATGAAAGGATAAAGAAATCTGGTAAAGATACACAATAGAATCTTTTTTTTTTAGACGTAAAGAAGAACAAAATTAAGTAATTTGTAGGGACATGAATGGAAGAAGACCTCATGACAGATAATCCAGTATCAGAAAGACAAATGTTTGTTTTCTGTTCTACGTGGAGGCTATCCATATGTCTGTCTGTCTGTCTGTCCGTCCATCTGTCTATCTATCCATCCATTCATTATCACATATAAATGCGAAAGTAGAAGAGGGACCATGGGGGAGGAGAGGCCTTTAAAGGAGAGGTAGGGAGAATAAGAGAGTATAGTGGGGGGAAGACTAAAATATCATATTTTTTTCTACACACAATTTAGATTTAAATATACATGTACCTATAGAAAAAATTCATATGTATGTTGCAAGAAAGCAGAAGGATATGTGGGTAGATAGGGAAGCATGTATTAGGATGGGAAGACAATGAGGGGTACATAGTGTACAATGATATTTGTATAAAATGTCATAATAAACCCATTATTTTACATATTAATTGAAAGTTAAGAAATTATAAGCATCTGATTTTATGAGATACGTTCACCTTTTTTTCCTCATTAGGCCCACTCTGCCCTTTTTTTTTCTGCCTTTAGTCCGTCTAAGAGCTCCATTGTTCAGTCTTCTCTATACATACAGAGAGGTTCTTCTCTATACACACAGAGAGGTTCTAGACTGGAAAGATGGCTTCTCTACACTTGCTTAGAATTAACATAAGTAAATAAGTAATGTGGGCCTGCCTCCTTTTCAGAACTAAGCACAATCTGTTTTTCCCCCTGTATTTTATCATGTTTAGATGCTCCTCAACGTATGATGTGATTATATTCTGACAAATTGTCATGATTCAAAACTGCATTTGAAACACTTAACCTATTTAGTTTAGCAGACATCAAATATTCTGAACGCCTAGCCAGTATTTGGATGGAGCCATTGGTCTTAGTTATTATCCCTATTGCTGTGATAAAACACCATGACCAAAAGTAACTTGGGAGGAGAGGGCTTATTTCAGTTCACAGCTTGTAGTCCACAACTGAAAGAAGTCAAGGCAGGAACCCAAGACAGGAACCTGGGGCCAGGAAATGATAACGGAAGCCATGAAGAAATGCTGCTTACTGGTTTGTTTCTCATGGCTTGCTTAGCCTGTTTTCTTATAGTTCCCAGAGCCACCAGCCTGAGAGTGCTTGTGCCTCTCACATCAACCATCAGGCAATACATGCACCACATGCTTGCCCACAGGCCAGTATTGTAGAAATATTTTCTCAGTGGAGGTTCCCTTTTCCCAAACGACTCTCCCTGCATCAAGTTGACATAAAATTAGCCAGAATACATCTAACAGGAATTCTGCTTTATAAAAGAGTGTTGGATATGTCAAGTATTTCCTTAAAATATTATACTGAAAATGAAAACAAAACAAAACAACAAACCTCCCTAGAATGGCTTTAAGGCTGAAAAAAAACTTATGTTCAGGGGTCAACTTGGGGACCATTTG